TGCTGCTGCAGCTTTCTCAGAGGAGTCGACGGACCTGCAGGGCACAAGCAACATGGCAGCAGAAGTGACAGCTGCTGCGGACAGTGTGGGAGCTGCGAGTATCCCTTCGATCCGAAGGTAGGGAAGGAGCGAAGAAGAAAAGGGAGGAGGAGGAGGATTGGAAGTGGGGGAGGAAGGAGTATAGGAAGATGGAGGGAAGAGAAGTGAACAGGAGGTAGGTAGGAATCAGGACAGGGGCAGGATGTGCGTGTGTGTGTTTATATGTTTGTGTTTGTATTGACTGCCGTTCAGGGGTCGCGCATCGGGTAAGCCCACCAGGAAGCACCTCGTGGACATCTCAGCCCTGCAGGAGTCCAGCAGCGAAGGATCAGCTGGGCAGGGGAAGGAGACGGGAGGACAGGCAGCGGGAGGGAGCATGGAGAAGACAAAGGATGCGGGAAGTGGGACAAAAGCTATGGGGGGAGGACAACTACCTCCAGGTCAGCCGCTCTCTACTCCCCTCGCCCCTCCCCTTTGGTTTTCTTTGCCTTCCTCGTCTTCATCCTATTTCCTCTTTCCTCCTCCTCCTCCTCCTCCTCCTCCTTCTCATGCTGTTTGCAGGGTTTGTGTTCGAAGATGGACAGCTCAAGTACGTGGGCTGATGGGCATCTCTGTATTCTTTGTCTGATAACCGTGAAATCTTAAAACCGTGAAATGTCGACATGCATGCGAAGCAGCGACCGAGGAAATGAAGGGGTGGGGGGGGAGAAGGGGAAGGGAGTACCTCACTGCGATGCGAGGTGGCCCAAGTTGTTGGCTGCGAGAAGTCTGTTGACTTGCTGCAGGATGACGGCATTCTGCATTGTTGATTCAACACAAACACAACCGACATCAACACTTACATCGATGTCCCTCGCCCATTCCGGCGCTTGCATGTCGATATTACTCATGGCGTTTCTGATACACTCCTTGTCTTCCTCAGACATTCCAACCCTCTGTCGCTCCTCTCCAGACTCATCGCTCGTAGAGGCGGACATGGAAGCCTCTTGCTCGCTGGTTTCACAGGCAGCCTCCTCGTCCTCCTCGTCCTCGTCCTCGTCCTCGTCTGATGCTTCATCGTTGAGTCCATCAAGAGTTTGATATCCAGCATGAACAGGCCTCGATTCCCCGTCGTCCTCATCCCCCTCCTGCTCGTCCTGCTCCTCTCCCTCCTCCAGACCTCCGTTGATCGCATGATACCCATTCTGCAGCCACGGTCAGCAACACCACTATGTGACTCTCAGCTCACCGCCAGAGCATCTCGGCTCTCAGTGTCCTCCTCCTCCTCTCTTGATCTCTGTCTTCCTGCCATGATCGTCCTTCTGTAGTCCTCCTCCAGCAGTCGCAGCTGTCGATCCGCCGTCTCCTCTGCTTCCTCCATGGTGTGGGTTTCCAGTGACCCCTCATCCCCACATGGTTTCAGTTTCCTTTTCAGTTAGCCAGCAGTTAGCCTAGCGCCCGGCCCCCACCCAGGCCTTGGCCCCTGGCACTGCACCCGGGGGCCCATGAGCCCCTCCGAGGCGCCGGGCCCCCGAGGCTCTGTTAGCCCCTGCAGTGCTCAGCCCTGCTCAGCCCGGGCCACCTCTCATGATCCCCACTAAGTTATATCATCCATAGTAACGGTCCGATCGGACTTCGGCGACTAAAGCCTCAGTAGAGCTTCACTCTACATTTTTTCGTCTCGAAGAAAGCGGCGGTCCGGGCCCACCGGGTACTACCAGCTGTTCAACCGTGTTACGGCCCGAGGTAAAAAAAAAAATTCGGAACCATGTGGTAATGGGCCAGGAAGTGAAGAAATTTGACCGAGAGAGATTCACTGCTGCGTTTACTACAACACAACGTGCCGCGTCGATTCTAAATCTTCGTTACTACTGGCAGTGTCGGGCTTGTCCGGTGTCAGTTGTAAACATCTGATGGCAACTGAGGTGTCACGGCCGGTAGCCCTGAAAAAAAAAAGAAAAAACAATGTTAAGAGGGCTAGTCCATAAAACGCTTATGCTAGCTGTGATGTCCGGCACTGCCTGGGCGTATGAGTCTCTCCTCACACTAAAGGAAGACACACTGGTATCTCGAAGACCGTCCTAAGGCGATCATTTGATCTGAAAGAGGGACTCTATCATGCGAGCATTTGGCTCTACATGGAAAGATTGAGGGAGGCCTTGACCATTCATCGCTGCAGCATGTGTACCTGCATGTCGTTGAAAGCGTCGAAGTCGAAGACGTGCTTGAAAATCCCTTGGAGTGCGGGAGGGACGTCCACGACCTTCCTGGGAGGCGGAAGGAGAGAGAGAGGATTGTGTGAGAGGGCTGATACTTGGAAGGATGGGGAGTGATTGAGAGGAAGGAGCTGATGAGCTTGAGGAGCCAAGAAGCGTCTTGGCGACATTTCTGTCTGCCTTCCCACAAACTTTGCTTTTGGCGGGCTTTTTGTCAGAGTACCCTACCCCCTCCCTCGTCAAGATTACCAATGGCTCGACCGCGTCGGTCAAATTCGAGTCCTCGTTACTACTGGCGGTGGCCCGGACACCATCGGGGTCGTCCGGTGTTGTAAACATCTCCAGCTAGCTGTGATGTCGGGTTCCGCTGGTCAGCCGCCGTGATCAGGGTGATCAGGGTCGGTCCTGTGAGTCAATATCGGTGGGGAACTGCCGGGCAGAAGCCCTGGTAGACAAACAGACAGACAAACAGACAGACAAACAGACAAACAGACAGACAGACAGACAGACAGACAGACAGACAGAAAGACAGACAGACAGACAGAAAGACAGACAGACAGACAGACAGCAGATGCGCATGCAGAGTTTTTTTTTTTGAGATCCATTTTTGTACTTTCAACAATTATTACTCTTCTGGTCCCTTTAAAAATTCCTCCGCGTGTTCATCCTGTAAACTTCCGAGGCCATGCGTCACTGACAACTTCTCGTCCTCCCTCCCTCCTGCTCGTGAGTCCATGTCCATACGCCTTCTTCGTGCTCCCCATGTTGGCTCCTTCTACCCCCTCCCCTCCCTCCCTGACTTGCTCGTGCCCGCAGCCTCTCCTCTCTCTCCGCCCAGGCTCTGCGCTCAAGACCTTTGGTGATCGCATCTTGGTCGTCACCGTGCGGTGGTCTTGCGTGGCTGTAGTCGTCTCGGTCTATTCTTCGAGTCTCTCTTGATCTCTCTCGGTCTCGCTCGCTCGTGCTCGCCTTGGCTGCGTCCTCGTGAGGTCTTGATTGCCTGCCTCGTGTGTCTCTCCCGGCCCCAGCGCCCATGGCGCATAGCATGCAACAGACCGCCCCGGACCCACAGCCTCGCATGCCGCTGGTTCCTATCCCGCTTCGTCCTACCCCGCTGATGCTCATTCCTGCCTTGAGTCACGCCGTGCAGCAGCCATGCGCCGTCTGGCTCGTGAGCATCGCGCAGGACAACAAGCATCCCGGCGGCGGCTCGGTGCCTCTCGGAGGAAGCGGCCATGCTGAGCAGGGTGAGCGACATGCTTGATCTGGTGACATGGCTTTAGGCATGAGTGACCCCGTGCTCAGCAGCCCTGGCAGCTCCTGCATGCCCGCACGCGCATCGCCGGGCGCAGCTCTTGGCGGAGCCTTCACAAGCGCCGCCAGCCTGTCCGCTCTTGCTCAGCCTGCACCCGGACACTGCCGGCCCGTGGTCGACCCGCAGCCTGCCAGCCGATCTCCATCGAGGCCTCGTCGCTACCTCGGCGATCGACGGGCAGCGCGAGGAGCAGCGTAGCACAGTCCGATCCGGCGAAGAGGCCGCGGAAGCCATGAGGCGTCACCAGCTCGACCAAGCGCTGCGAGTCAGCAGCCCCAGGCTGGGACAGCAAGCAGAGCAGTCCAAGCGAAGGAAGCCTTGGAAGATCGCCCTGACGGAGGTCGAGGTCTGTCAGAGCTGTGCTGGGGGGGAGCGCAGGCGTGAGAGCCGGTTGTGCAGGCCAAGCACATCTTCCTCCAGAGACCGGAGGCCCACGCGGTAGCTCGTCTCGCGTGCTCTGTGCGGAGCTGATGCAGGACCCCCGCAGAAGCGAGGAACGAGCACGAGGCTGTCGATCGAGCTCGCCAAGCAGTACGGAGTGAGTCAGAAGACGATACGGGACATCTGGTGAGACGCGTTGAGCGGATCTCGACGGCAGCCGACGGGGCTTGAGCGGTAGATGGCTGAGCATGTCGGCAGGAACGGAGACACGTGGGCCAAGGTGACGAGCGGAGAGTAGAGGGAGGGAGGAGGGGAGTCAGGTACGAGCGTGAGGGATGGAAGGAGAGACTGAGTTGTCGGGCAGGTGCGAGTCAGAGGTATAGACATGAGGGAGAATGTTGTATCGCTCCTGGTAAAGCTTGAGTTGTTTTTGCTGGATTGGTGTTGGATCATCGTTTTCTGTTTTTTTTTTTTTTTGGTTCGTTGTTTTATTTGCTCTGCAATATTCTACTCTACAGTCTTATGATGTCCTTGTTGGCTCGAATATACAGTATCAAGATCCCTAGCCCTTCTCAAAGTTTGGTACACCAGACCAAAGACTTATACCGTACACAGTGCGCGGCATCTGTTGGGGAATAGGTTTATGTCCTAGCCGGCAGCAGTAGACTGTCGTACATCAGGTTGCAAGAGGGCATGGAGGACTGCTCGATCGGTGTGCGTATCGATGAAAGATTAGATCATCATGTGAGCAGAGCATGGCAAGCGCAGCGTTCGCTTCAAGGTTGTTCACATAATCATCAAGATATTCCTTGGCTTTAGGCATGAGTGACCCCGTGCTCAGCAGCCCTGGCAGCTCCTGCATGCCCGCACGCGCATCGCCGGGCGCAGCTCTTGGCGGAGCCTTCACAAGCGCCGCCAGCCTGTCCGCTCTTGCTCAGCCTGCGCCCGGACACTGCCGGCCCGTGGTCGACCCGCAGCCTGCCAGCCGATCTCCATCGAGGCCTCGTCGCTACCTCGGCGATCGATGGGCTTGTTGTCATTAAGCAAGAGTGCATGACTGGAGACTGAGGACGGAGGCACCGGACAGTCTTATCATCGATGTCTGTACTATACGTCACGTTAACTAGAGGAGGCCAGGAGCTTCGACGTCGCCGCGCTAGCCCCTTAGGTCTTGCGGGAGGAGCTAGCCCCTTAGGTCTTGCGGGAGGAGAAACTCAAGAGAGGCTTGCCAGGCGCGAAGGGCTCGAGCAGTGGAAGCCAAGTGGAGGGTCGACCCGCCGCCCTCTGACGGGATCCCTCCCATAGCAGCGAGGTCGCACGAGTCCAGCTCTGCCCTGACCTTCCTGTGCTCGAACTCGCTCTCGCGAGGAGGATGGTCCTGCTGGCCGAACCCTGAGACATATGTCAAGCTCCCACACCCAACCTTCTGCCCTCTGTCTCGCCTCCCCTGTCCCTAACTCTCCCATCCCGTTCTCCTCCCCTCCTTCGCTCCTGCATTCCGCCTCCCTGCCCCTCTCCTCGCTCAACGCTCCTCACCCTTGGGCAGAGGGCTATGGCCGTCAGGGACGCAGTAGTGGGTATAGGAAGGGACGTAGAGGGTGCGGAGGTGATTGGGAAGGTTGTTGTAGTCTTCGACGCAGGAGAACAGATATCCGCTAAGCTGTCTGGAGGAGAAACTGAGGAGGAGCAGGAGAAGGGAGGAAAATGGAGCACGAAGATGAGGGAGAAGAGGGGAGGAGGGAGAGGAGAGGATGACAAGTATGGAGAAGAGGAGAGGAGAGAGCAACGCTGGAGAGAAGGGAGGAAAGGAGGTGAGAGGGGGCGAGGCGAGTGGGAGGCAGGGAATAGAGTGTGAAAGAAGGGAATAGGGTGCGAGGGAGGAAGGGAAGGGTGAGGAGAAGAACACCTGCAGCAGGCCATGAACCCTTGCTTGCCCACCGGGTTGTCGTTGGTGCACCTGCGGAAGAGGCAAGATGAGGAGGTGGTCAAGGAGGAGGAGGAAGAAGAGGAGGAGGAGGAGGAGGAGGAGGAGGAGGAGGAGGAGGAGGAACCTCTGATGGGCATGCATGGCTCTGTCGCACTCAGTCAACGTCTGTTCCTCTTGCTCGTTGGAAAGATTCTGGAAATTTCATCAGGGGGGAGGAGGAGGTTGATGCAATTGTGAAAAGAGATGGTAAGAGAGGAGAGGAGTGATAGGAGGGGAGGAAAAGGAGAGGAAGGACAAGAGACGAGAGGGGGGAGTGAGTAAAGAGAGGAGGAAGGCGAGGAGAGCGACGGTGAAAGAGGAGAGGAGAGGAGACTAGGGGAGGAGGGTGGGACAGGGGGAGAGAGAAGAGAGAGGAGCGAGGCGGGAAGAAAGTTGAGTCATGGGTCTGACTTTGGATCTCTGAATCATCTCAGCGATTGAGATTGGTTCCCCAGGTTTCACTTCAATCAGCCTCGCCTTCGCACGCGCCATCTCCTTCTCATCTCTTTCCTTCTGCTTCAACATATCAGCTCCTCACCCCTCAACCAAGTTCTTTTCCTCCTCGTTCTCATCCTCCTCTCTCCTCCCTGTGACCCTTCCCTCTTCCCTTCCCTCTCTCTCCTGTCATCGACCTTCATCTTCTCCTTCTTTCCCTTGATGCTTCCTACAAGATTTTTCTGCACATGCCCAATACACTTGGTGAGGTTGAAAGATGGAGCTCCTGCCAGAAAATCAACCTCCTCCCCTTCCTCCTCCTCCCCCTCCTTCTCTCCCTCCTCCTCCTCCTTTTCCTCAATCTGATACCTCGAAGTCCTCGCATCATCTTGTTCTTAGTACTCTGTGCCGAGGCAGGGTCTGCCAGCAATCCTCCGACCTTGATAGCCAGTAAGGGGGAAGGGAAGAGGAAGGGAGGGAAGAAGAAGAGGGAGGAGGGTGAGAGAAGAGAGAGGAAGGAGAGGGAGGAGGAGGAGGAGGAAAGGATGGAAGAAGAGGAGGGAGAAGGGAGGAGGAGGAGGAGGAAAGGATGGAAGAAGAGGAGGGAGAAGGGAGGAGGAAAGCAAAGAGAGGAGCATTCTACCTGCAGCTTGCTCATTGCAGTGAGCATCCTCCTAGTGAGGCAGAGGAATTGAAGTGTCAGCTCAGCTTCCAGGTCTTCCTCTCCTCCTCGCGATTTCACTGCCGCAAGTCGAGCAGCCGCAGCCAAGCCAGGAGCGAGACGCCTTAGGGGGCACAAGTGAGCGACCTGTCAGTGGGATGTCCATGGTTGGGGGAGAGAGGCAGCAGAGTGCCAGGAGGACAACTGATCATTGTGAACATGGTTGTTGATGTTGATGTTGATGTTGATGTTGTTCTTGTTGTTGTTGTTGATGATGATGATGATGATGATGATGGTAGTGGTGGTGGTGGTGGTGGTGATGATGATGATGAGGAGGAGGAGAATCGAGGGTATTCGAGACCAGTTCTCCTGATCTTCTGATTGCTTCTTTCCTCCTCCTTCCCCCGACAAACTTGAAGCAATCTTGATGCTCATCTCCAGCAGCCCTCTCGCTGCTACCTCCGGCAGGTCACCCTCTGCTCGCTGCCCCCCGACAGGATCGATCGAGTCCGCGATCTCCATGAGCGCTAGCGCACCATGCTGCATGCCAGCAAGCGGTCAGTGTAAACCCCTCGAAAGGAAGACAGGGAAAGGGTCAAGGGAGGAGGAAACCTTGGAAGGAGAAGATGGGGAAGGATGGTGAATGGGAGGGGAAGAGAGAGAGGACGAAGGGGGGGTGGACGTTCAACCTCATAGAAGTCCCTCAGGTCCGATCGTTTTCCATCCTCCTCGACGTCAGAGGAAGCAGCATAAGCGTCCAGCATCGCCCGGGTGCTTTCTCCGATCTTGTGCCACAGGTCTCCCCTCCTGTAGTACTTGGCAAGGGAGATCTAAAGCTTCCTCAGTCACCCCGTCTCCCCTTGCCTCCTCACCATAGCAAGAAGAGCTGCCCCCTCCGACGAAGCCTCATGCATCTTCAGCTTGTGCTGCTTGCGGGGCCTGCCATTCCCTTGCTTGCTCGTCAAGATCCCGCTGCTCCGTCCCCTCTCCTTGACACCTCTGCGCCTCTCCTGCTTCCTTCTCTCCCCTCCCCTCTCTCCCCCGTTCCTTCCCATCTCATCTCCATTCCACTTCTCTCTCCTCACAGACCTTCAAGTGTCCGCACGAAGCGACCGGAGCTCAATCGCAGGCGAAGGAAGTACTCCGAGTAGTCGTCGAGCTGTGCGGCACTCAGGAGCGGCACTCAGCGGGTAGCACGCACCGCTCGCTTCACTCGCCAGCCTTGACTCGTCTGAGCGAAGGAGGGAGCGTTCAACCCGACTCCCCTCGGCAGCCTTGCAACGTCCATGATGGGCATGCAGGAAGAGACACAAGAGATTTTGACTCACGCGCCGGCATCGAGACTTCGGTGGAAGTGGAGGAGAGAGAGAATCACCTTGGGAGGGTCAGGGCCAGCGAGTCGCCAGCTGCTTCACCTGACTGAGAGTCTCGAGCCGACCGATCTGAGCCCGCGGGTAGCTGGAGGAACCAGCGCGTCAGGGGCGACGAGGCGGGTCCGCCATGTGCCGGTGCTCACATGATGTATCTCACGCCTGACTTGGTCGACCGCGAGTGTCTGCCACGTCATCAGCGCTGGTCCAGCGTCCCACGAGCTCTCACGCTTCCCAGAAGGAGAAGCTGTGGAGAAACGCCTCATGGATTCTCGTCTGCAGCCCGACAGGAAACTTGTCAGGTCTTCTCCGCACCTGCAGATCGAGAGAAGTGAGGAGGGAAAGGCAGCAAACGAGAAACCTCGCGATAGAATTGAGACAACGTCAAGAGCACGTTACTTTGCTCTACCTCGTCTTCTTGCACATCCTGAAATCACACAAGTACAAACGTCACTGCTTGATCTCAAGGCAGCGATCACGAACAGGAGCAACGCGATCTTCCATGTTGTATTGGGGGATGAAGAAACCTTCGACCCGCTGGCTATAAAGTAGAAAGTGTGCAGCAAGTAGCATGGAATCCACATGCTCGGTTAAGTTGACGAACCGTCGGCACTGAGCAGAGGAAGCGACTTGCCCGATGTATGCATCGGAAGAGTTCTGTCAGAGCATCAGCGATTGGAGGAGATCGATCGACCTCTATACCGAAAGCAGCCCATTGCTCAAGATCGCAGGCTTTGCATACAGAAAAATCGCAACCAGAACAGAAGCTGTGAGGGCAACAACACTGGTGAAGGCAGAAGAGGCGACCCCTGACGAGCTCCTCAAAGTCTGCAGGGCTCTTTTATACCACCACACGTAGGCTCGCATGCGAGGTTTTCCCCGAGCGTCTCCCTCGCCCTCATGCATTGCCGATACGTTCCGCTCCTGCCCTGACATAGCAATCGGCAACCAAGATACTTATCTTAGGTCATGTGCGCGCAAAACAATCTGTGCTGAGCAAGCAACACTCAGATGGAGAGAGATTTAGCAAGGACCTTCACACAATTGTTTCCTCCTCACACCTTCATCTGAAAACTTAACTCAAGAAACCATCCCTGCGTCTCTGTCTTTGTCTGCCTGCCTGCCTGCCTGCCTGCCTGCCTGCCTGTCAATGTCTATGTCTCTACCTTCTCGTTCAGCTTTCCTCGTATCCCACCCGCCTTGACTTGGTTGCTAGCTTCTCAAGCACTGGTTGCTTGCTTCTCAATCACTGGTTGCTAGCTTCTCAAGCACTGGTAGCTAGCTTCTCAAGCACTGGTTGCTAGCTTCTCAAGCACTGGTTGCTAGCTTCTCAAGCACTGGTTGCTAGCCTCTCAAGCACTGGTTGCTAGCTTCTCAATCACTGGTTGCTAGCTTCTCAAGCACTGGTTGCTAGCTTCTCAAGCACTGGTTGCTTGCTTCTCAAGCACTGGTTGCTAGCTTCTCAAGCACTGGTTGCTAGCTTCTCAATCACTGGTTGCTAGCTTCTCAATCACTGGTTGCTAGCTTCTCAAGCACTGGTTGCTAGCTTCTCAAGCACTGGTTGCTAGCTTCTCAAGCACTGGTAGCTAGCTTCTCAAGCACTGGTTGCTAGCTTCTCAAGCACTGGTTGCTAGCTTCTCAAGCACTGGTTGCTAGCCTCTCAAGCACTGGTTGCTAGCTTCTCAATCACTGGTTGCTAGCTTCTCAAGCACTGGTTGCTAGCTTCTCAAGCACTGGTTGCTTGCTTCTCAAGCACTGGTTGCTAGCTTCTCAAGCACTGGTTGCTTGCTTCTCAAGCACTGGTTGCTAGCTTCTCAAGCACTGGTTGCTAGCTCTCTCAAGCACTGGTTGCTAGCTTCTCAATCACTGGTTGCTAGCTTCTCAAGCACTGGTTGCTAGCTTCTCAATCACTGGTTGCTTGCTTCTCAAGCACTGGTTGCTAGCTTCTCAAGCACTGGTTGCTAGCTTCTCAATCACTGGTTGCTAGCTTCTCAATCACTGGTTGCTAGCTTCTCAAGCACTGGTTGCTAGCTTCTCAAGCACTGGTTGCTAGCTTCTCAATCACTGGTTGCTAGCTTCTCAAGCACTGGTTGCTAGCTTCTCAATCACTGGTTGCTAGCTTCTCAAGCACTGGTTGCTAGCTTCTCAATCACTGGTTGCTAGCTTCTCAAGCACTGGTTGCTAGCTTCTCAAGCACTGGTTGCTTGCTTCTCAATCACTGGTTGCTAGCCTCTCAAGCACTGGTTGCTAGCCTCTCAAGCACTGGTTGCTAGCTTCTCAAGCACTGGTTGCTAGCTTCTCAATCACTGGTTGCTAGCTTCTCAATCACTGGTTGCTAGCTTCTCAAGCACTGGTTGCTAGCTTCTCAAGCACTGGTTGCTTGCTTCTCAAGCACTGGTTGCTAGCTTCTCAAGCACTGGTTGCTAGCTTCTCAAGCACTGGTTGCTAGCTTCTCAATCACTGGTAGCTAGCTTCTCAAGCACTGGTTGCTTGCTTCTCAAGCACTGGTTGCTAGCTTCTCAAGCACTGGTTGCTAGCTTCTCAAGCACTGGTTGCTAGCTTCTCAAGCACTGGTTGCTAGCTTCTCAATCACTGGTTGCTAGCCTCTCAAGCACTGGTTGCTAGCTTCTCAAGCACTGGTTGCTAGCTTCTCAAGCACTGGTAGCTTGCTTCTCAAGCACTGGTTGCCTGCTTCTCAAGCACTGGTTGCTAGCTTCTCAAGCACTGGTTGCTAGCTTCTCAAGCACTGGTTGCTAGCTTCTCAATCACTGGTTGCTAGCTTCTCAAGCACTGGTTGCTAGCTTCTCAATCACTGGTTGCTAGCTTCTCAAGCACTGGTTGCTAGCTTCTCAAGCACTGGTTGCTAGCTTCTCAAGCACTGGTTGCTAGCTTCTCAAGCACTGGTTGCTAGCTTCTCAATCACTGGTTGCTAGCTTCTCAAGCACTGGTTGCTAGCTTCTCAAGCACTGGTTGCTAGCTTCTCAAGCACTGGTTGCTAGCTTCTCAAGCACTGGTTGCTAGCTTCTCAAGCACTGGTTGCTAGCTTCTCAATCACTGGTTGCTAGCTTCTCAGTCAGGAGTGCCTGCTTCTCAAGCACTGGTTGCTAGCTTCTCAAGCACTGGTTGCTAGCTTCTCAAGCACTGGTTGCTAGCTTCTCAATCACTGGTTGCTAGCCTCTCAAGCACTGGTTGCTAGCTTCTCAATCACTGGTTGCTAGCTTCTCAAGCACTGGTTGCTAGCTTCTCAATCACTGGTTGCTAGCTTCTCAAGCACTGGTTGCTAGCTTCTCAATCACTGGTTGCTAGCCTCTCAATCACTGGTTGCTAGCTTCTCAAGCACTGGTTGCTAGCTTCTCAAGCACTGGTTGCTAGCTTCTCAAGCACTGGTTGCTAGCTTCTCGAGCACTGGTTGCTAGCTTCTCAAGCACTGGTCCTGGACTGTCCTTCGCTGGGCATGTCCCCGGCACGCAGTTTAGTTCATCATCGTTTAGGTTGAGGCGAACCAGGTCTTCGGTCCTCAGTCACGCGGGCCGGGCCCGGCCACCGAGGCCCGGGAAGTTCACCGGTGCCTCAATAACTGTAAAATGCTGGGGTTGGCCCGTGCTTTTTTTTCAGTTTTTCAACAAAAAAGAAGTCACGGAGAAAAGAAGTTGAACCTCTTTTAAAAATTGGAGGAAAAAGTAAGCTGGTACATCTGTCGCTCGAAGTTAACAAACCGAAGTACTGCAACAAGTTTAGTTTTCAACCAGATCCCAATTATTTGTAGATATCTGATACAAACAAAGGTACTGGTTGCAAATGTCAATACGATGTCCGTTAAATTGGTTTTTAAAGAGTTCGGGGAATGTGATCAATATTGCCTGTTCGCGAAAGGTTGTAAAAGTCAAGGAAATGCTGTTCAAGATCGTGCCACTCGCTCCTCTCCTCTCCTCCTCCTTCACTCGTGAGGATGGGACCACCTTTGATGGAACTCCTAGTATGACTATGACCTGCTCTGTTCGATAATCACTTGTGAATGACACGTTGTCTAGGCCAGTACGGCTTCTGGATTGTAGACAGCTACAACTCCCCGTAAGTCTTCCCATCATTTCTTTCTTTCGGCCTTGTCGGCCTATGCTGATCATCCACTTCAGGTCAAGCCAGCCGTGGAGGCAGTCCTGGACCAACATTGACACCCGTTATGCCGGAGGGTCTGGCACTACCAGCTTCAGCGGAGGAGAGACTCCCATTGCTGACGGATACTCTGCTGCGAGCTATGGATCTCCTCATTACTCCTACAGCTGGTACTAAGAAGCTCGTAAACTGTTGGTGGAAGAGATATCAGCATTCATCTAAATCAGTTGTATTGAGACATATCTTGTTTCTCCCTCAGCGCGCTCATTCAAAACTCCTCGAAGAAAGAGTCGTAGCTAAACGAGTGATGCTTGGCTTCCAAATTACAACTCCTTGCAGGCACCTCGTCGTTGGTGGCAGCTAGAAATGCAAACACTGACTTTTGTAACTGAAGCGGATATCTGGAAGCGTGAGGTTCGACAACAGAGCTCATTGACAACTTCCCGTTGATTCCTGCAACTTCTTTCCTTGGCGTATCGACTGTATGACTGATGTAACCCTGCAAAGCCTCACGTCCATATGACTGCATTGACCCTGGGCGGTCACATCGCGAGGGGGCTTGGGAGCCTCTGTAGGCGAATCTCTCGATATCCCAGTTGAATGGTTCTGACTCCTCGCGGGTACGATGAATAGCCTTGGTGGTCTCGGATAGGGAGCTGTGGAGCAGCTTGACTTTCTTGACGGATACTTTGTTTTCTAGAGCTTCTCTGACGATCGAATCTTGTTTTGGCCTCTTCACTTTCCGTTTGATGTCATGATGATGGTTTTCTGGATCTGCTTCCTTGCTGGCATGATCAGCTGTAGTGACTGGATTGATGTTGCTTCTCACGAAGAGCACGATCTCAAGGACAGCATCCCTGCCCACGAAATTCTTGTTTATAACCTGTGCATTATCAGCGCACGAAATGTAGAATGTACAATTTTTCACGTGAATCGCAAGCGTTTTGTGAAGCTCAATGTCTTGGACATGCAGTTGAATTTTGATGTCACGGGACCCTACCGGGAATTGCAATGCTTTCTTGAGGATGATCCCTCCTTGTTCTGAACCCACCAAAAGAACTGGTAAAAATGTTTTCTTCTTGAAGTTGCACACCGAAACAGCTGTTATTCTCAAGTCGATGTCAGCTTTCTTGCCGTCGAAAGCCTTGCTATATTGTACTGAAAACGAAGGTATTGATCGCAATTCCTCCATGACTTTAGATCCAAAACCTCCTGTATGTCTACCAACAAGAGATTCAAACTTCCCTGGTCCCAGCTGATTGAGATCCTCAAGATCTTTCACTCCTGAAGCTACAAGTTTTCTGGAGAACGTATCTCCAATACCTAATTGCACCAGTCATCCCTTCATATACCGTGATATCAGAGTACACCAGGAAGCTGCTGAAGTATCCTTCCATTCTTATCATCATGCCATGTCTTCTGCCTGATCGACTTGGATAGAAGCATCATTGATTTCACACAGAGAGAAAGAGTTGTACTTGATATAAATGCATGGCGTTTAAGGTAGGAGTTAGCATCCCTTTGGTCGAACAATACTCTGCCGGAAATGTAGTAAACGACTTTGAATTAGGATCGACCACGAACCTATCAATGCCTCGCAGACTCGACATCCAGTGTCACATATTCCCTGCATTTCCTGTCGCAACGTGAAGTTTTCGATTGTTCCGGTGCTGATGGCGATTTGTAGCAAGCAGTTGACTTTTCTCGGTGTAGTCCAACCTCCAGTATTGGATTTCTTGCAAATCTTGAATCTGGAAGTGATTTAGATGTTTCTGTCAACAAACATAATGTTGATTAGTGATGACCGTACAAGCTTGCTGTCCTTGTTGGCATTCTCAAGTATCTTTTTTTGTTCATTTCTACAATGGAAAGGAGAAAATTCCTGCTGGATGTCAGACATCATCCTGCCCCGATTCGATGCGCCTACTTGAGCATAGGAGATCACTTCGATTAGTTCACTTGTTTGAGCTGTCTCAGGAACGGTACGAAAGCTCAAGATAGTTTCGTATGCAATACAGTACTTAGCCATGATAGCTCCCAATGGCTTGATATCACATTAGTGTTTCTCAACATTCATATCAGAATTACCGTGCTTGAAAATGTAAGTGCGTCTCTGTCTAAAGGCACCACAAATGGAGGCTCAGCGTTTCTCAATTTGTTGTATTCTTGCATCATCAAGTGCTTGATGTGCTGTTCTATTCTAGAATCTGAAATCTCGCACTTGGAAGACATAAGAGCTGGAAAATAGAATTTTGGTCTTTTCTTCGCTCGAACCCATAAGAATGTCCTGCACGTTGTATATTCTCAGGAAGAATTCAGATTATGTGCAACTTACTCCGAAGCCCATGCGAGCATGGTATCTATGTCTTTGATGGTCTCTAGAACGATTTCACTGTTCAGATGCTCGATCAAGGCAAGATGAAGTTGGCTTTCGAGAGGCGTCTTCCTCATACAAGTCGATTACCACGGCAAACGTACAAGTTTTTCTCAAACCTTTGAACAAATCGAATCTTCATACATTCCAGCAGTATGTTGTTGCGTTAGAACTGAAAATGGGTAAGATCGGTATTACGGAAAACGATGGAAGACACCTATTACTTTTCCTTCCACGTCGTAGCCTGGTCGCCCTGCCAATTCAATCGTTTTCTTAAGGACAGGCAACTTGGAATTTGCGTAGGTGTGCACCAGCCCTTCCTGCCATTTGCTGTATAGAGGTAGCATCATATTCCTGTCATGGAAAACATTCAAACTTAAGTTCAAGTTATTGAGTACATCAGAAAACAACCTTCCAGGCCTTCGTGTTGCTGTCGTACGTTAGAGTGGATTTGATGATTACTAAGTATGCTGGAAGATTTGCTCCAACTGCAAGCGTTGTAGTTGTAAAGAGACTGAAAAAGCTCTCACTCCAAATCTCTTTTGCGACTCAAATATTTTGATACCATATTAGAAGTCTGGATTGAAATAGGCCTTCTACAATTTTCCGATCTTCACTCTCAAGCGATCCATTATGGAATCCGAACCTGAAACAGCTATTGTTGCACAGTGGTCGACTTTGAATTAATGCGAGGAATACCCATGTGTAAGTACTTCACGCAAAGTCCTGTCTTTCACACGACCTATGTCTCTCGACCGCAGTCTCAGCTGCTCCTGTTGATAGGGGTCCGGCCTAAGATTCTGTTTGCTCATGTACAGCGCTGCTTGACTTGCTGAACTCCGTGTTGAACAAAACACCAGTACTGGCCTTCCTTGCGAATGCAATTTTATGAGATCTGCACACAAGTATCATTTTAACAAGGTTTGTGGGATTTAGAGGAGATTTCCTGGAATCTTGAAGTTCAGATTCTTGTCGAACACGAACTCACTTTTCCCAGTACTTGGGTATCCGAGTACTGAGTGCGCTGTCATCGACCTCTGCACGTCAGAATTCAAAAACTCATACCCTTATACTCTAAGGGAGTCGGACGATATTCTTCTCCGAACAGGCAAACATGCGATGAGGGAGCACCAATCCAAGAACCAATGTCATCCAAATTGGGAACGCTTGCAGAGGCTCCAATTATTCGTAGAGGGTGGCTTGTTTGATGGTTGAAATTTGTTTCTTCCTGCCATTTCCTGATAGATTTCATGCTTGCCTGACTTTCAGCAGCCTGAACCATTGCATCACATTTTGTTACCGACAGATACATGCTTCTAAGCAAGCGCCTCTTGACTCGTCGGACACAAGATGTATCTCGTCAATCTATGTCAGAACAGTTCTTAAGCTGATCTCTGCATGAAGTGAAGCGCACCATTAGCAATCTTATGGCACTAATCAGAGGCTCAATCTGCTTCCATCTCCTCGTCGTGCTTTCCCATTTCTCAGGCGTCGATACAACAAGGTCAGCTTTGCCCCGGATACCAACGCGTTCAGTCAGTTGCAGTGCTCAAAGGTTCTCAGCGTTCTTCACCTGCCATGAGATCGCTGACGGATATTTCTGTGTCTCCTGTCAACATGACAACGTTTACTTGCATTGAAGATTGAAACTTGGGTTTCCAAGATTCGTATTTTTGAGAAACCAAGAACTTGGCCGGTGCAAGGAAGATGGCCTTCTCCGGATATTTCCTGCTGCCTCTTCGCTCGGCAAACAGTTTGCAGATGGCCCTGATATTTCCCAACAGGTTCCACCACAAGAAATCAAGATCAGAAGCCTCTCCACACACTAAAGGAAGACACACATCTCGAAGACAGCAGTCTTGCCGGATCCAGTCGGAGCACCCAAGGCGATGCTATGATCTGAAAGAAGGACTCTATCGAGCATTTGGCTCTACATGGAAAGATTGAGGGAGGCCTTGACCATTCATCGCTGCAGCATGTGTACCTGCATGTCGTTGAAAGCGTCGAAGTCGAAGACGTGCTTGAAAATCCCTTGGAGTGCGGGAGGGACGTCCACGACCTTCCTGGGAGGCGGAAGGAGAGAGAGAGGATTGTGTGAGAGGGCTGATACTTGGAAGGATGGGGAGTGATTGAGAGGAAGGAGCTGATGAGCTTGAGGAGCCAAGAAGCGTCTTGGCGACATTTCTGTCTGCCTTCCCACAAACTTTGCTTTTGGCGGGCTTTTTGTCAGACCCCGGGAGTCTTGATCGGTGATCGCGTGGGTCAAATCTGATTCTTCGTTACTACTGGCCGTGTTGTGTTGTAAACATCCCAGAAAAAAAAAAGAAAAAAAAGGGTTAGAGGGCTAGTCCATAAAATCATATCGCAACGCTTATGCTAGCTGTGATAACCGGCACTGCCTGGGTGTATGAGTCAGTCGGCGTCATAGCAGGGTGCTGTCCGAGCGGGCCAAGAGGCCTGACCCTCCTTGCGCAGACAAACAGACATGTTGTGAGCGTCAGTTATTTATCACGAGGGTTCTTACTACAGGGAAGGTAGGCCCCACTCAGTCCAAGGACCCCTGGGACCCTCCTTGGATCTCAATTTTGTTGGAATCAAGGTAGGATTTGACCACCCCTACCTACCTCAAACTTCACTTTTAAATTAACATCTGCACCTGCTCCCTAATTTATAGTTGATTGCCCTCCGCTCCTCCAGGCGAGTCACCCCCTCCCCCCCCCCCCCGCCTTGCTGTCTCCCGATTCACAACCAGCCTCAAACTTCTTGCCCTTGTTCGACTCTCCCTCTCTCCTTCTATTAAATATCCCCACCCTCTTTTCCTGACCCCCGCTTGTTCCTGCACTGATTGTGTGAGCATCCTTGTACTGATCTACCTGGCGAATATTCCTCCTATCTGAGTATTGTTTATTGCATATCCATTGGCAGTTGCAGGTAGATTCTCATCTGTTTGTGACATCACTGCTTTCTCGTCTTCCCTCCCTCCCGCTCGTGAGTCCATGTCCATACGACTCCTTCCTGCAACACCCTTCGTGAATGCCCCCCTTGTTGTTGGCTCCTTCTACCCCCTCCCCTCCCTCCCTGACTTGCTCGTGCCCGCAGCATCTCCTCTCTCTCCGCCCAGGCTCTGCGCTCAAGACCTTTGGTGATCGCATCTTGGTCGTCACCGTGCGGTGGTCTTGCGTGGCTGTAGTCGTCTCGGTCTATTCTTCGAGTCTCTCTTGATCTCTCTCGGTCTCGCTCGCTCGTGCTCGCCTTGGCTGCGTCCTCGTGAGGTCTTGATTGCCTGCCTCGTGTGTCTCTCCCGGCCCCAGCGCCCATGGCGCATAGCATGCAACAGACCGCCCCGGACCCACAGCCTCGCATGCCGCTGGTTCCTATCCCGCTTCGTCCTACCCCGCTGATGCTCATTCCTGCCTTGAGTCACGCCGTGCAGCAGCCATGCGCCGTCTGGCTCGTGAGCATCGCGCAGGACAACAAGCATCCCGGCGGCGGCTCGGTGCCTCTCGGAGGAAGCGGCCATGCTGAGCAGGGTGAGCGACATGCTTGATCTGGTGACATGGCTTTAGGCATGAGTGACCCCGTGCTCAGCAGCCCTGGCAGCTCCTGCATGCCCGCACGCGCATCGCCGGGCGCAGCTCTTGGCGGAGCCTTCACAAGCGCCGCCAGCCTGTCCGCTCTTGCTCAGCCTGCACCCGGACACTGCCGGCTCGTGGTCGACCCGCAGCCTGCCAGCCGATCTCCATCGAGGCCTCGTCGCTACCTCGGCGATCGACGGGCAGCGCGAGGAGCAGCGTAGCACAGTCCGATCCGGCGAAGAGGCCGCGGAAGCCATGAGGCGTCACCAGCTCGACCAAGCGCTGCGAGTCAGCAGCCCCAGGCTGGGACAGCAAGCAGAGCAGTCCAAGCGAAGGAAGCCTTGGAAGATCGCCCTGACGGAGGTCGAGGTCTGTCAGAGCTGTGCTGGGGGGGAGCGCAGGCGTGAGAGCCGGTTGTGCAGGCCAAGCACATCTTCCTCCAAAGACCGGACAAGGCCCACGCGGTAGCTCGTCTCGCGTGCTCTGTGCGGAGCTGATGCAGGACCCCCGCAGAAGCGAGGAACGAGCACGAGGCTGTCGATCGAGCTCGCCAAGCAGTACGGAGTGAGTCAGAAGACGATACGGGACATCTGGTGAGACGCGTTGAGCGGATCTCGACGGCAGCCGACGGGGGCTGGAGCGGTAGATGGCTGAGCATGTCGGCAGGAACGGAGACACGTGGGCCAAGGTGACGAGCGGAGAGTAGAGGGAGGGAGGAGGGGAGTCAGGTACGAGCTCGAGGGATGGAAGGAGAGACTGAGTTGTCGGGCAGGTGCGAGTCAGAGGTATAGACATGAGGGAGAATGTTGTATCGCTCATGGTAAAGCTTGAGTTGTTTTTGCTGGATTGGTTGTTGGATCATCGTTTTCTGTTGATTGTTTTTTTTGGTTCGTTGTTTTATTTGCTCTGCAATATTCTACTCTACAGTCGCATGTTGTCCTTGTTGGCTCGAATATACAGTATCAAGATCCCTAGCCCTCCTCAAAGGTTGTTTGGTACACCAGACCAAAGACTTATACCGCACACAGTGCGCGGCATCTGTTGGGGAATAGGTTTATGTCCTAGCCGGCAGCAGTAGACTGTCGTACATCAGGTTGCAAGAGGGCATGGAGGACTGCTCGATCGGTGTGCGTATCGATGAAAGATTAGATCATCATGTGAGCAGAGCATGGCAAGCACAGCGTTGCAGTCTCAGTAGCAATTTGACTGAGACATGAGACTTGAATTTTGAGCTGAGAGAAATCGTCAGGTATTCCCATAGAAATCAAGCTCACATAGGGCAGAACCTCAAGTTTCATCACGATTCTTGTCTGCTTTTATGTGAAGAGTTGAAATCTTTTCGATTTGGTTGCCCCTGTTGCACAAAATCAAGGCGATGCGTGTTAAGAGAGTTCACGATTATGAAAATCTTTCCATCGGTCGCTTAAATCTTTTAGTCCAATTCTGCGCTTACAACTGTTACTGAAGCTCCTGGGGAACTGAAAAATTGTTGTGGGGGATTGCTTGATTGCAAACATGTTTTCGTTCCATTCAGTATGTATGTTGTTGGGAGGATCATAAATTCATACAATACAACCAACAAATCACATTGCTTTCAGGAATTTAAAACTGACAACAAGTGAGACTGTCAGTATGTGATGTCTCAACAAAGCAAGACTGTCTCTTTGATCTTCATTCCTCTTCTTCTCGTGGCATTCCAGGGACACAGTTTGCAACCCCACCCCTCTTAGGAAGAGCACTTGTACTGCACTTGTACCCCTACCCCCTCGATTCCTCCTCGATCAACCTTCAGTTTTACTTTTGAGAGTACCCCACCCCCTTGGGACTCTCAGTAGGCACGCTCTTGGTAGGATTTGACCACCCCATCAACATGACTCATGACCCGCAGCTTTCCCACACTTAGTACCACCCCTCCAGGAATTCTATAAGCGACTACCTCCATTAATTATGTTTACAACGTCGCTTATCCTCTCTCGCCCCCGTTCGCTCCTCTGCTCCTTCTCTGCCCCTTGCTCCCTGCGCCGCAGCTCGTCCCTGCTCCATTGACCCCCCTCACGGTCCTTGTCTTGTTTCCAACCATCACTACGAACTCTTCCCTCATCCTCTCAGCAGTTGCTTCCCAAACTCTCGTTGCAGCAGAAGCTCTCGAAACATTCCTCCCTTTCTTCACCTTGCTCCCAAGTTTTCTTATCATATCCCATCCTATCTCATCTTCCTGTCTGCTCGTGTACCTGTAAAACAACCCAGAGTATTCAACTACTACTTCCTGCAACACCCTTCGTGAATGCCCCTCTTGTTGTTGGCTCCTTCTACCCCCTCCCCTCCCTCCCTGACTTGCTCGTGCCCGCAGCCTCTCCTCTCTCTCCGCCCAGGCTCTGCGCTCAAGACCTTTGGTGATCGCATCTTGGTCGTCACCGTGCGGTGGTCTTGCGTGGCTGTAGTCGTCTCGGTCTATTCTTCGAGTCTCTCTTGATCTCTCTCGGTCTCGCTCGCTCGTGCTCGCCTTGGCTGCGTCCTCGTGAGGTCTTGATTGCCTGCCTCGTGTGTCTCTCCCGGCCCCAGCGCCCATGGCGCATAGCATGCAACAGACCGCCCCGGACCCACAGCCTCGCATGCCGCTGGTTCCTATCCCGCTTCGTCCTACCCCGCTGATGCTCATTCCTGCCTTGAGTCACGCCGTGCAGCAGCCATGCGCCGTCTGGCTCGTGAGCATCGCGCAGGACAACAAGCATCCCGGCGGCGGCTCGGTGCCTCTCGGAGGAAGCGGCCATGCTGAGCAGGGTGAGCGACATGCTTGATCTGGTGACATGGCTTTAGGCATGAGTGACCCCGTGCTCAGCAGCCCTGGCAGCTCCTGCATGCCCGCACGCGCATCGCCGGGCGCAGCTCTTGGCGGAGCCTTCACAAGCGCCGCCAGCCTGTCCGCTCTTGCTCAGCCTGCACCCGGACACTGCCGGCTCGTGGTCGACCCGCAGCCTGCCAGCCGATCTCCATCGAGGCCTCGTCGCTACCTCGGCGATCGACGGGCAGCGCGAGGAGCAGCGTAGCACAGTCCGATCCGGCGAAGAGGCCGCGGAAGCCATGAGGCGTCACCAGCTCGACCAAGCGCTGCGAGTCAGCAGCCCCAGGCTGGGACAGCAAGCAGAGCAGTCCAAGCGAAGGAAGCCTTGGAAGATCGCCCTGACGGAGGTCGAGGTCTGTCAGAGCTGTGCTGGGGGGGAGCGCAGGCGTGAGAGCCGGTTGTGCAGGCCAAGCACATCTTCCTCCAAAGACCGGACAAGGCCCACGCGGTAGCTCGTCTCGCGTGCTCTGTGCGGAGCTGATGCAGGACCCCCGCAGAAGCGAGGAACGAGCACGAGGCTGTCGATCGAGCTCGCCAAGCAGTACGGAGTGAGTCAGAAGACGATACGGGACATCTGGTGAGACGCGTTGAGCGGATCTCGACGGCAGCCGACGGGGGCTGGAGCGGTAGATGGCTGAGCATGTCGGCAGGAACGGAGACACGTGGGCCAAGGTGACGAGCGGAGAGTAGAGGGAGGGAGGAGGGGAGTCAGGTACGAGCTCGAGGGATGGAAGGAGAGACTGAGTTGTCGGGCAGGTGCGAGTCAGAGGTATAGACATGAGGGAGAATGTTGTATCGCTCCTGGTAAAGCTTGAGTTGTTTTTGCTGGATTGGTTTTGGAGTTCGTTTGTTTCTTGCCTTTTTTGATTACCATGGTTATATTTTTGAAAATACATTGTATTGTAGAGTGAGAAGAGATGGATAAATTAAAGTATCATCAGAGGTCACTAGTTAACCAAAGGTTTTGAAAGCTTGTTCTCGTCAAATTCATCCTCGTACACGTCTTCCTCTTGTTCTGAACACTTGGTCAGCGCATCCCCGAGCAGATACAAGAAACCTTTTCTGAAGCTGCGGATGATTCGTGCTATGAAGAGCATGCACGTGAGAGAAGTGATTGCTCCGCAAACCTTTGCACACAAGAATCAGCAAGTCACATGTCACAGCGCTGATCTCACAGCTCCGACGATGCTCATCATGTTTCCCAGGTACTGGGGCTCCGGCACGTCGTTGATTCCAACGATCGTCACAGTGGCGTTCTGGGCACAGTCAACGCTGAGCCTTTACCTCCGTGAGAAAGACCTGAGGGTCCACAAGCAGACTTGAGTTCACGGCGGTGAAAATGCGGACCTGGAGATTTCAACTGAGAGATGTCAAGAGGAAACATTGACAGACCTCAAATGTCAGCGACTGCTGCATAAGTCCATTCTGATGGATAGGAATGATGATCTGTCTGCATGGCAGTCATGTGGAGATCGACTCGCAAGACGATCAAACTTGGTCGCCGAGTCTCCGTTGTTCCATCGAAGTTGCCCTTGTTTGGAAGCGAAATCTTCTCCAAGCCCCTTCATCACGAGTGTCAGTCGACAGTTTGTTTCTCTGTCTCCGTCACCCTTGCAGATGATGTTGTGTTGTACTGTATCGTCTCGTAATTCACTGAGGGGAATCAGGTCAGCTTGAGGTTGGCGCAAGACGCTGCTGCACCGGTTGCTGTCAGATCGCTTCCGCCCGTCCTGGTCACTCCCAACGCTGCATAGCCCCAAACTTGCTTTTTCACCCTGCGCTTGGATCACCATGAATCGCAATCACTTCAGCAGAATACTGAATCTGGAGGTTTTGGAATTGAAGCACGCCAGGATACTGAACCTTGATGAATTCCTGGTGGGTCTAGAGTCATGGCAACCGAAGCAGCAAGACACCAACACTTACAATGATGTGCCCGGACGGCAGCGTCGACTTGCTGCTCAACCCCTGGTCGATGTAGATCTCCATGATGTTGAGCATTCTCAGCGACGGGTCGCCTGTGGCCGCTTTGCTCCTCGTGGTCAGGTTCTTCAAGGAGACCGAGGCTGAGGCTCCCCCGGGCCCTTCGCTCACGATGTAGATGATCATGTTGAAGTCATAGCAAGACCCGCCAGCCATGGTCGGCACACACGTGATGGGGCTGCTCTTCTCGTACGAGCGGACAGCAAACAAGGTCCCAATACTTTGACTCTGAAGGCTCGAGGAGGAGACCAATGTCTGTCAGAAGCGTGAGTGCACTCGCTGGCTTCAGTGAGTAACTTACAACAAGCTGAAGGCGCCGCCAATCTTCTGCGTTGATGAGCATAGCAAGGTTCATGAGGAATCCATTTACGTCAAACGAAGAAGAAGGATACTGCGTGTAGATTCCAACTTGAGGCGAAGAGGTCCTCCATTGAAACTCCGTCACAGAACTGCTCTGAGGAGCGAGGAAGGTAAGCATGCAGGGTCCAGCAACACATCTCATCCTCCGTTCGCACGTCTGCTTGCTCACCCAGTTGTATATCGCTACTGTCTGACCAGAAGGGGTGTAGGACGAGATGGAGCCCAAAGACCAGTAGAGTCTCTTGCAAGACGTCCGGATACTTATCCTTGGATATTTGCTACATGTACCGCTCAGACTTGAGCAGGAGGTGATGGACAAGGGAACGCTGGCCGAGAAGTTGTCGAGGGAGCGATCGATCCCGGCGATGAAGGAGTTGTTGATCATGTTGGTGGCGGGGTCGCACGGTCCCGGCTTGCCTGGCGACATGATGGCAGGAATGCTGACGTTGTAAACCCCAGGGCTCAGTTGCGTGATGGTGAACCTGCACTTGGGGTCTCCTGGGGAGATGCAAACAGGACAGCAAGTCGTCAAAGCCTGCGAGCTGGAGGCCTGGAGGATCTGGGTCTGGTTGGGGTTTCGTTTGGCTGGATCGATGTACTTCCCCCCGTAGATGTCCTCGTCAATCAGCTCCCATGTGCCTTCGTGTTCCACAAACTCATCGAGTTTCGAAGCCGGAATGGTTCCGTTGTAGCCTTTTGCAAACGGCCTGATTCCCAGAGCGACGGTCTTGTTTTCAAACGAAACGCCCGGTTGCGCGCAAGCGAAGTTTGGCGGGTTGTTATTAAGGCAAGCGACTCGGGGCAGGCGGCAGACGAACATGTTCTGACTGATGTACCGACTGTCACAGCACTCCTGAGGCTCACTCGTTCCGTTGATCAGTACGATGGAGCCATTCCTGGTGTGTGTGACATCCGTCGGAGGGAAGTAGCTCCCGTACACCGTGATGTGCGTTCCTCCATCCTGAGGGCCGAAGGGCGGGTTGACTGAGTTGATGGTAGCCATGTAGTTCTTGAACCACTCATTGTTCGGACCTTCAAACCGATCCCTCCAAGTCAACGTGTACAAGAATGTCTGCGAGGCGGCGACAGTGGCGAAGGAGGACGGGAAAGAGGTCATGACATTCTTAGTGGGAGAGTAGGCGAGAATCCAATTGCTGCTGAAGCTGAAAGAATTTGAGCCTGCATTGTCATAAGGAAACCCAAGGACCAGGTCGAGTCTGTACTCCGAACCCCGGGGATCAATGGCTGTGCTCTTGCCTAATCGGAACTTTCCTTTGAATTGAGTTCCATCCAAGCTGGGATAGCAGGCAGCGTTGCTCGAACATCTCTGATAGGGGATGGTCTCTGCCTTTGAGTTATCGTTCCACGATTTATGCTGTGAGTAAGAGGTCCCGAAGTTGAGAGCGCAAGCGATATAGTCACTTGTTGTTTTCTGAATAGTCATGATTACAGTTCCATCTGAAACGTTAAAGTCTGCATGGACAGTATGGTTTCGCTCATACGCACAACCATCTGGCATACCGTAGTAGTTGTCTGCCCCCGGTGAGCTCTGAAACACGTCTCCGTGGAACCTCAAAGTCAAGTTCATCTTCACTTGTTCCGTCCCCACATATTGCGCTGGGTCGAGTAAGATCAAGTCGATCTGATCTACCGGGCAAGGCGAAGGCCAGCCAGGTTGAGGAAGGCAGGAGCCACTGGACAAAGGTGAGTATAGATAGCTTGCTCCTGTTGTACTGCCGTCTGCATACCCCGAGCCCTTCCAATCTCTTGCAAGGTATGCGACAGTTTCTGAAGCGTTAAACCATGGCGAAGTTTGACAAGAGCACAAATGAAGGCTGGCGAGAAAAATACCCAACGATATTCGAACTGAGATGTCTCGCAGTTGCATCGTGCAATCTTAGCGCAAAGAATGCAACACAAGGGAGACTTGCAGGTTTGCACTTCAGGTCTACAGTTTCAGACTTGACTCAGCTACTTCCTGCTCTCTTCTCTGTTCTCTCTTCTCTGTTCTCTGTGCTCTCTCCCTCTCCCTCTTCCTCCTCTAGCCCGCTTCTCTTCCCCTCCTCCTCCTCCTCTCATCTTCCCTGACCATGGCGGCTCTCCCGTGTCGCTTCGGCTCGTAGGGCCTGTAGGCAGGCGACCGATTAAAAAGTTCCGTACGAAGAACAAGTAAATGTTCTGTCAAAGAACAATCGATTTACCTGAAATGTTCTGTGAAAGGAACATCCACTTGAGACCCTCGGGGAAGGCCACAAGGATGAAAGAGGAAGGAGGCGTGGGAGGAGGAGGAGGAGGAGGAGGAGGAGGAGAAGGAGGAGGGATGGGAGGTTGCTTCTTGCACAGCACCAGCCACCATCTCCTAGCAGGCGCTATCGTCGTCAAAGGTGATAGCGGTCATCGTATAGTCATGTCGGTCACTATGGCAGGCGGTTCGGAGGCGCCAGCGTTGGATAAGGTGGAGGAAGCAGGACGGGAGCTCGTGAGCAGGCGATCGGCAGTCCAGCTGCTTCCTCAAAGTGTCCTCGGTGTTCCTGCGAACGGGATAGCCAAGCTGATGGCTCCTAAGCCAGCGCTCTGCGGGCAAGACATCGAGGTCACGTTCGATGCTCTTGTGTTTGTTGGGCACCCGATCTCCCTGGACCAGCGGGCGTACAGCGAGGGGAGCATAAGCCAGGAGAGTCACCAGATCCTGCGAGGCTCTAAGCAGCTCTCGCAGAGACACGAGAGGCTGACGACGTTCACGTTCGTGCTGGTGGTGCATCATGGCTGCAAGTCGCTGAACCATTGGAAAGAGGTGGCTCGATCGGCGGGGCTGGTTTGGGTGCATGAGCAGCTTCGCAGCGGGTATCTGAGCATGGAGGTTCAACGCATCCAAGACCTCGTGCAGGGGAACATCTCGTCGCAGGAACGAGCGTCGAAAGAGAACGAGCCGAAGCTCGAGGGCAGCAGCACTGACTTAGTGGGGAACAACCCCAGCCATGTCGAGATTGAGCGACAGAAAAGCTCGCTGGTGGCCGAAGTCGTCGAGGTACTGATCCTCTTTCTGATCCTGTCTCCCTCCCTCCCTCCCTCCCTCCCTCCCTCCCTCCTTCCCTCCCTCCCTCCCTCCCTCCCTCCCTCCCTCCCTCCCTCCCTCCCTCCCTCCCTCCCTCCCTCCCTCCCTCCCTCCTCCTGCTCTCCTCAGCACTTCCCAGGTGTTCGAGAGCTTGAATGTCCACGGGTCTGCGAGCGTCCTCGTCAACTCATGGCTCAACCTGCACGTGCGGGTCGGAGCCGCGACAGCAGCAAACGCTCCGTCACCGCGGAAGTACGACACCTTGCTCCTTCTGCAGCCAAGAGATGAGATTTTAAGAGAACTCCCGGTCCTCCTCCCCTCCGCCTCCCCTCCACCCTCTCCTCTCCTCCGTCTCTCATCCGCCTCCATTCCTCTACCCCTTTCCCTCCACCTCTTCTACTTCTCCTCGTCCCCTCTACCACGTCCTCTCCACCTGCTCACCCATTCAACTGATCCTTTCCACCTCCTCCCCTCGACCTCCAATCCTTCTCCTCCTCCTCCCCTCCTCCTCTCCTCCCCTCCTCCCCTCCTCCCCTCCTCTCCTCCGCTGCATCCGGCATCCCTGAGGGCTGCGCACAGGCCGACTGCTCGTTGGACTTGGCGCTGGTAGTGCGCAAGGCGGATCCCTTGAAGGTCTGCTGGCAGGGCGAGACGTCAAGTGACTTGGCAATGGCAGACGCTCAAGAGACTTTCAGACGAGCTTGACATCCCGTTGCAGCGAGTGTTCGTGCTGTCCCAGCACCTGGTGAGGACGAATATCAATGTGTCGCTGAGAGAAATTCCTCGTTGCTTCCTTCCCCTCTCCTCCTCCCCTTCTCCTCCTCCCCTTCTCCTCCTCCCCTTCTCCTCCTCCCCTTCTCTTCCTCCCCTTCCACCCCTCCTTCCCGTCAACGATATGTATTCGTCGTCTCCTCTCTTCTCTCTCCTCCCTTCTTGTTCTCCTCCCTTCTTGTTCTCCTCACCTTCCTATTTACCAAGAGAGCAGGAGAGATGGTCTAAGGGACGAGTGGTTCAGAGCGTGAGCAAGGCGAGCATCTACTTGATTGCGCCCGAGGTGAACCTCTCGACCGTCGGAGTCTCGGAGAGAGAAGGAGAAAACATCGCCGAGTCCTTCGATCGTTTCATGCCCGCGGAAGAGCCTTCGCGCAAGGGGGAGGAGGAGAGAGGAAAGGAGGACAAGGGCAAGGAGGAGAGGGCAAGAAGCACGAGGAGGAAGAGCTCGCGGGTCAGCAGGGGATGGAGGGCTCAAGGCTCTCCGAAGCTGCGCCTGCAGAAAGCGCTGCAAGTCTTCTCGCAGGGAAAGACTCTAGAGGCGTTGCAGCATGACGTGGAGATCCAGACGCTGGCAGGTGGAGCATGCGCCTTGAGCGAGAGGAGGAGAGGAGCTGACCAGCAGGCAGAGCTCAATGTGTCGCGCTGGGATGAGCTTGAGAGCAGCGTCATCAAGCTGATCAGGAGGAAGAAGAGCGACCTCGCGAGAGTTGCCGGCATGTCTCTTCTTCCTCATGATACTGCTGCTTTCATGGATAGTTATTGTCTTCCTGCTCCTGCTCCTGCTCCTGCTCCTGCTCCTGCTCCTGCTCCTACTCCTGCTCCTGCTCCTCCTACTCTTCTTCCTCCAGCTCCTCCTGCTTCTCGCTCCGTGCCATCGCTTTCTTTCTGCTCACTCGCTGCATCTCAGCGTGGCTGCTAGAGAAGAATCTGGTCGTCGAGCTGCAGACTTATGTCGAGTTTGTGTCGGAGGATCTGCCGAGCTCAAGCGAGGAGGAGAAGGAGGAGGTCGTCCTCACTCCTGCGCAAGAGATCATGCTCGCAGGTATCTCTCCTTCCTCCTCCTGCTCCTCCACCAGATCCTCCTCCTCCTTCTCCTTCCTCACCTCCCTCCCTCCCTCCCTCCCTCCTCTCCTCTCCTCTCCTCTCCTCTCCTCCTCCCTTCCACTACTCTTCTCTCGCTCTCTTGCTTCCTCCTCTTCTCCACTCCTCTGACGGGGCTGCAGTGAGCATGGGGCTACACCCCAGGATAGGAGAGAGAAGTCCTCTGATGCTCCTTGCCGAGCTTCAGTTCCGCTCCAACGCGGAGGCCAGTCAAGGCAGCTCGCGTCGGTCCTTGGAGGACCTGCTGGTCGCCATCATGAGGATGGCGCTCAAGGAGGAGCAGAGGAAGGTAGACGAGCAGGACGCGGCTGCGAGGAGGAGGATGTCGTATGGCAGCCTCGCTCAGGTTGACCCCAAGGAAGAGGGCGACGAGGGATGGATCGAGGTTGATTGAACTCCTCCTCCTGTCCTCCCCTCCCTTCCTCCTCCTCCCCCTTCATCCTCCTCCTGTCCTCCCCTCCCGCTTCCACCTTCTGTTGCTGGTCTTCTCCTGCTACTGTTGCTGCTGCGCCCTTGGCTCCTGCTTCCTCCTCCCCCTTCCTCCTCCTCCCCCTTCCTCCTCCTCCTCCTTCCTCATCTTCAATCTCTTTCTCAAGCTTGACTGTCTTGAAGGAGGCAAAGTCGGAGGCAGAAAGGACTCTCCGTAGGAAGCTCGTGAACTCCTGGATAAGGTTACTCTGACTGTTCCCCTTCCCTTCCTCTTCTTCCTGCCCCCATCTCAAAGTCCACCGCCTGCTCATGTTCCTGCTGCTGCTGCTGCTGCTGCTGCTGCTGCTGCTGCTGCTGCTGCTGCTGCTGCTGCTGCTGCTGCTGCCACTCCATTTTCTCCTCGTCCTCGTCCTCGTCTTCCTGTTGTCCCTCCCTCTGCCCCTCGTCTGCTCGTGCTGTTCCTTCATGTCCTCTGATTCCATTGCTCTTGCTGCTCGCGCTTTCATGTCAGGCACCTCTCCTCTCCTTCTCCCCCCGGGTTTGGCAGTCTGTCAAAGAAGGGAAAGGCGAGATTGTGGTCCCGCCTCAAGAGGTGAGACCTCCTGGAAGCGCTTCTGTCCTTGCCACTGCTGCTCCTCCTTCTCCTCCTGCTGCTGCTGCTGCTCCTCCTCCTCCTCCTCGTCCTCCTCCTCCTTCTCCTGCTGCTGCTGCTGCTGCTGCTGCTACTTGTCCTCTTGCCCTTCCCCCGTTAGCCTCTCTCCCTCCTGCTGTTCTTGATGCTGCATGTCAATCAGAATGCTCCCCTTCCTCGATGGGCGTCACACCCTGCAGTACATGTGCGAAGAGATCAACCTGCGTGCAGAGGTGAGAGGAGGAGGAGGAGGAGGGGAACGAGGAGGAGGAGGACGGGAACGAGGAGGAGGAGGAGGGGAACGAGGAGGAGGAGGACGGGAACGAGGAGGAGGAGGACGGGAACGAGGAGGAGGAGGAGGAGGAGGGGAACGAGGAGGAGGAGGAGGGGAACGAGGAGGAGGAGGAGGGAACGAGGAGGAGGAGGAGGGAAAAGTTTAGGCTGACTTGAAGCAGAACATCCTGGCCATCGCTAAGCGCTGCTCGGAGTTTCTCGTCGTCATCCGATGCGCCGTATGAGAGTGTGAGGGGAGACTGAGAGGGGAAGGGAAGGAAGAGGAGGGGAGGGGAGGGGAGGGAACTACAGGATTCAACAGGGAGGAGCGGCTAGGATGGAGGATGGAAGACTGTGAAATAGGAAGGAAGGACGAGGAAAGAGAATTTGGGAGGAGAGTGATTTGTACAGATTATCTTTTGAATGTGAATGAATGACGAATACACACATGAATACAACACAAACAAGACAAGCAAGAGAGGAAAGGGGGAGATACCGGAGATGGTGAGAGGAGAAGGAGCATGAGGGCAACGGTAATGCGGTAGATTTTCAATTTTGTTTTGTTCCAATTTGAAGACTCAAAAACTTCAAGATCGAAACTTGACGAGCATGACAGCCAACATCGCGACTCCCACGAACGCAACAGGGACCAGCATGCTGCTGCATGTCATGTCAGCTCCGCTCCTCTCCTTCCCCTCCCTCCTCCTTCCCCCTCTCTCCTTCCCACCGTCCTGCCCCATCTCTCCTCCCCATTCCCCATCCCCTCCTCTCTCAGCAGACCTTGATTCGCTCCTCGAGCTCTGCTCTCCAGTCTGCAGCAGCGCCTTGGGCCCTCCTGTCACTCCGATCAGCTCCCCTTCTCACTCTTCTCCTCCCCATACCAGCACGGAGCTCCTGACTCCTCTCCCCGAGGCTCTTGAGCTGCGCCTGCAGGAGCACATTCAGAATCCTCCTCCTCCTCCTCCTCCTCTACCTTTCTTTTTTCCTTCAAGTGCACTGGGTCAAGAATGTCCTTGCGGTCCAGCAAAGTCTTCTCTGAAGCCTGAAGACCAATCACACACACACATCCCTTCCTCCTTTCTTCATCCTGAAACACCTCCCATACTTTCTCCTCCTCCTCCTCCTCCTCCTCCTCCTCCTCCTCCTCCTCCTCTACCTGCCCGAAGTCGCACTGAATTCCCGGCAGTCCAATGTCTGCGGCTACGTTCTCCGACATGCACTTGGAGAAGACCCCGAACACGCTGCTCCCTGCTGGGGTTCAGCACGAGTAGAGGAGGAGGAGGAGGAGGAGGAGGAGGAGGAGAACGGGAGTGGATGCTGCTGCTGCTGCTGATGATGATGATGTTGATGGCAGTGAAGGAGTACCGGTATCGAAGATGACAGGCATCTTCTGCCTGGGAGTGCCAATAGAGACGTTGACGAAATACTGCGTGCTCTCATGGTTCACCTGGCCAGCGAGTCACAAGTCGTCTCCTTCCTCTCCTCTGCGATAGTCCTGCTCCTCCTGCTCCTGCTCCTGCTCCTGCTCCTGCTCCCCTCGTCCTCGTCCTCGTCCTCGTCCTCGTCCTCGTCCTCGTCCTCCTTCCACTGTCTGCCTTTTTCTTGTCTGTCTGTCTGTCTGTCTGTCTGTCTGTCTGTCTGTCTGTCTGTCTGTCTGTCTTTCAGCTCGCGCACTCACCACCGGTACTCGGTCAGCAGCGATGGGGTAGTGGTAGTTCCTCCTGATGGCCTTCGTCTCCTGAATCACCTGCAACCATGGACTTGAGTACTCCTCCTCTCGCTCTCGCTCTCTCTCTCTCTCTGTCTCTGTGTCTCTGTGTCTCTCCTCACCTGTGCAGGCTGCTTGTGCGCGGTGATCTTGCTGATCGTCTCATGCTTGGTAGCGAGCTGCAAGGGTGGAGGATCAGCAGGAGGAAAGGACGAGCGGTGCAGGCCCCGGGGAACGAGGGGGATGAGGAGGAGGAGGAGGAGGAGGAGGAGGAGGAGGAGGAGGAGAAGGACCTTGTAGTTGGGATTTCTCTTTCCGATACCGATGGTGACTGGGCCGGGAAAGGTGGAGAGGTCGAACATGACCTAGCGGGCAGCACTGAGACGAGGAGTCAACAACCCGCTGCATGCTCACCACATAGCGACGGAAAAGAACGTCCCCGACAAGCACCATTGGCATGCCTCCAGGCATCCTCTGCGTTGACATCATTAGCGCTCCTCTCTCCTCCTCTCCGATATTGTTGTCTTCGTCCTCGTCCTCCCCCTAGTCTTCTTCTTCTTCCTCTTCCTCTTCCTCCCTGTCTCACCTGTACGCAAGACTGATCCGAGTCGGAGCCTTGGGTGATGTACCAGTCCGAGAAGGGAATGTCGTACTGGAAGAAAACATTAATAAGAGGACATGAATGGGGCAGAGAGAGCGGGAGAAGGAAGAGGAGCCGAGAGAGACGGGGAGGAGGAGAGAGCGAGGTAGAAGAGGAGGAGGAGGAGATACTTACAACTGTGCCTGCGATGTTAACGTGGAAAGTGTCATGCTTCTTGGGGGCCTTTGTGTTTCCTCCAATCATGTGCTTCCACTGCCAACGGCCGTCAGTCAGGAGGAAGAGAAGGAGGGAGGATGAGGAGGAGGGAGATGGAGGAGCAGCAGCAATAGGGGAAGGAGGAGGAGGGCCGGGGAGAGGAACCTGAGTGAAGGGCTTGTTGCTCAACATGCCGGGGACAGGAGCATCGGGGAGAACCAAGCATGAAGTTCCACTTGATAGCAGTCAGAAGAGGTGGAGAGAGGAAAGCAGAAAGAGAGGAGGAAGTGAAGAGGAGAGGAGAGAACAGGAGAGGACGAGGGAGGGTGGGGAGCGAGGAGAGGAAGGGAACTTTAGCTGTACCTGTCAAGAATGCCAGCAAGGAAGGGAGGGTGGCATTCGTCTCCCTGACAGCCGATGGGGACCTTCTGCACGTTGCAAGGGAGGGCGTCAGCTGGACAGGAGCTGGCAGTGGAGCAGCCGACCAGGTTGGGGTTGGAGAACTGCAGGAGCTCCACGTCTCCGAACTTGATCGAGTGAACAGGAACGGCATAGTCGTTTGGCTGCGCCGAGGGTTCAAAGGTTGTGGACCCCAGCTCAAGTCGAGCTGTACCTGGATGGTGGTTGTCAAGTGCATCTTGCCGATGATCGACTCTGGATCGACTCCGCCCAGCTGGATCTCAGCCTGTCATCGCGTTGCTGTCAGGCACCGCCCTACCTCCTTTCCCACCTGAACCCCACCTGGTCATCGGTGGAAAAGAAGGAGAAGGCTCTCTTCCTGCGTCCCCGCAGACTTCAGCAAGCGCGGCGGGAGGCGGGGGATCGACAGGTACCTGAGCATGTGGTTCTTGGCGTTGTCCTTGACCCTGGGGTCTGTGAGATCGAAGAGCAGAGGAAGCGGCAGCTGCATGAGTGGAGTCAGTTTCCTTCCTGCTAGCGGGAAGCACGCGGCACCTGTGGGCTGGGCATTCCGGGAAGCTCCATCTGAGAAGAATGTGAGATGAGGAGGAGGGGAGAAGGGAAAAGGAGGAGGGGGAAAAGGGGTAGGAAGAGAGCAGGGGAGAGAGCAGGGGAAAAAGAGGCAGAGGGAGAGAAGGAAAAAGGAGGAGGGGAGAGAGGAGGGGAGAGAGGAGGGGAGAGGAGGGAAAGGAAGGCACCGGCATCTGCTGTGGAAGACCGAAGCCGAGGATGCCGTTGACGCGCTGGAAGTCAGGGCTGTTGCATGTCGTGATGCCTCCGAACTTGGTGACTGTGTAGAAGTCGCCGAACTGAACGATGTCGGTCGCCTCGTACCTGCCGCCCGTCAGGCTCGCCGAATGCTGAGGCCGGCTCTCACCCCTTGAGGTTGGAGTTATCGGCATACTGGAGGAAGAACTGCCCGTGCTTGATGTAGCGAATCGATTTGGACTTGGTGGGATCGAACCTGAATCGTCCGTTACCTCTCCTCCTCCTCCTCCTCCTCCTCCTGGACTCGTCCCCTTCCTCCCCCCAGCCCCCCCCGCATGTCCCGCTGATCCTTCTCCTCCCCCCCTCCTGCTCCTGCTCCTGCTCCTGCTCCTGCTCCTGCTCCTGCTCCTGCTCCTGCTCCTGCTCCTGCTCCTGCTCCCACCCCCGCCCGCCCATTCTCGCAGAGCCTTGCCTGGTGCAGTTTGGCCCCCCAGGATACGCAGCCCAGCACTCGTGGGGATAGAAAGGACGGATGAACTTGTTGCAACCAGAGTCTTTCTTCGGGTCGCAGTTCTATGGACACACGTCAGTTTCCTTGGGCTCTGAAACCCGCCGTGCGCACCTTGCTCTCACCACGCACGTGGCTCACATTGAGCAAGACAACGAGCGCCAACAAAGACGTTCGGGTGAACATCTGCGATCAAACCTGTCAGCCTCCACTAGCAGGTAGGAACGAGACGATTCCAAGCAGGAGATGCTCTAAAATGTTCACGGCACCAATGAGCGCAGGGTGCGCAAAGTGTGTTTGGGTATGAGCATGTGCTGAGGATGTAGAGCTAAACAGGTAAGATAGACGCAAGGTACAAAAGACTAACAGCACTGAGATAAGAGACTAACAGCACTGAGATAAGAGACTAAGATTGACTGTAGATGGGGACGAGAACGAGGATTCAAGGAAGTACAAAAACAGACATAGATCAGATGAGATGAGCATCAATCATCCCTCAGTCTGCAGGACAGGAACGCATGAGGATTATCTAGCTGAGGAGAGCATCTCTCATATGCTCCCATGCTGTAAGAATGGAAGATGCCGCTGAGGGACGGAGGATCAAAGTATGGTAACATCGCAGTTGGAACGCCAGGGAGAGGAAAATCAAAGCAGGGCTGAAGGGTAGGAGGAGATGGACAGAAGCATGCAGGATTCGATTGAAGTGATTTCGCCTTGGGAGAGGAAGATGAGTAGGGAGAAAGAAAATGGAAGAGATGGAGTAAGGAATAAACCGGGTGAAACGTGGCATGCAATCCAGGAGGAGGTCGAGGAAGGGAGAAACAGGAGTGGGGAAGGAGGAGGAGAGCGAGTAGGAGGGAGAGAGGACATGGTTGACGATCATGGGGACGAGGAGGTTCATCGCGGCAGCTGTGCATTGCGTGTGAGTCACCAGAATAGCCGTGTTTGCCCTCATCCCCAACAAACCCAATCCATGTGGGCCCGCCCCAGCATTTTTGTAAGCGAAAACTTCCGACGACCAGGAAGATGGTAGACCAAAGGGTTCAAAATGACCGGGTAGGGGTCAACCAAAAAATCTCAAAGAAGGGGTGGTACATGGAAGGACCCCCAATAATGCGATATTACTACTCATTTCACTGGTCAAAGTGTGGGTAGGGGTACTTGAATCCTCCTCGCACAGGGGTACTTTCGGCCAAGAACCCACCCCTTTCGGAACACATTTCCTAGGGCGATTGCTAGGACCAGCTATCCATCGCTAAGCTTTCCTAGGATCTGGCCCTCTATGGCAAATGCAAACAGCATGCCACCTATCTACTGCCATGCCCGCCATGCCCGCCATGCCCGCCATCCCCGCTCTGTCCTCTCGCTCCTCTCGCTCATGCTTTCGATGCACTCCTGGGCTTCAACATGCTCTCAACATGCTTTCATGTTTATGTCCTCCATGCTGTCAAGGCTCTGCCTTCTTTAGAACCCCATTTTGAGGTCAAATCTAAACTCACCGCTTATCTTGATGTGCTCCAAACATGTTAAGTCGATTTTTCTTCGCATCTCTTTGTTTCTGTTTGCAAGCAGCAAACTCCTCCTCATGCATTCAGCTCTTCAATGTGTTGTTTCTCTGACGATCTGTTCGATCCAGCATGGCAAAGACCAAGAAGAGGAAATGGAAGCAGCAGCAGCAGCAGCAGCAGCAGATGTCGAAGAAGAGGAGCTTGCTGGCTGACAAGTCCATCTATGAACATCTGCCGTCGAAGAGGAAGCTGACGAGACTGAACAGACTCACGATTCTCCTGAGACTGACGAGATGAGCGGCAAGGACGACATCACCAGTCTCATCTCAGACGAGGAGCTTCGGGTTACCTTGAGGACACTGAGCGTCATCGGTGAGCATCTCGACATGCTCCGTGACAAGCGCATGAAGCCCTTGAGATCTGCGTTGCATCCCATTGTGGAGGAGCGGATACGGCAGACGGCAGGGAACAAGGTCCCGCATGCAGCAGGGGGAGGGTCGTTGAGCGGTAAGATCAGCGAGGCGCTCAAAGATCAGAGGTGGGAGGACGCGATCGAGCTGCTGCAAGCCATGCGGGCTCCTCGTGAGATCCCCAAGCTCGGGGCCGTCCAGCGTTGGGTGCGGGACTGCGACTTGGGAGCAACGGCTGCCAACGACCCTCAGGCGCTGCGGGTGCTGGACGCCATTCTGAGAGCGGCAGGTCAGGACTGGTTCGGTCTCGCGGCATCAGCAGCGGCGAACGCGAAGCAGGAGGGGCAGGAGGGAGCTCCTGAGCTGCTCAAGGGGAGCGGGATGGTGCGCCGGTTTCCAGCATGGTGCCCGGTGCCGAAGCAGGAGGGCGGGAGCTACGACGCTAGCAAGTTCCTCGAAGTAGACAAGTCGAGCCTCCGCATCATCGGGCACGAGATGGCTTGCGAGCGCCGCCCGCCCAACAAGCACGACCTGAACATCTGGTATGCTCCTCCCTCCCTCCTCCACTTCCAGCAGGACCTCCCTCAGGCCACAAGGTTCGACTTCCCCTCCGTCCCCGGCGCTTTCTTCCTCTCGGGCGTCCTGACCCCCCACGAGTGCTGGCAAATCATCTCCGTCGCTGAGGCCATGGGCTTTTCCCCCGATGAGCCGCTTGACAAGGCCATTGACTCGCGCGCTGACGGATGCGTGTGGCTGGTGGACGAGCAGATCCAGGTCAGTCCTCCCACTGCCACGCTCCTCCCTCTTCCTCTATCTGCTCCCCTCCCTCTCCTCCTTCCCGCTCTCCTCCCGCTCATCCTGGTCTACAGCGGAAGCTGCTTGACAGGATGGAGCATCTCATGCCTCCTGTGCTGGGGGACGGCAAGTTCGCAGGCCTCAACGCCCGCTGGCGCCTCTACCGTTACACCACGGGCAACGTCTACCGGCCGCACGTGGATGGAGCATGGCCGGGCTCGGGTGAGAGGAGGAGGAGGAGACGAGGAGGAGGGGGGTGAGGAAGAGGGGGACGAGAGGGAGTTGAGGGGGACAGGAAGACGAGGAGCAGGAGTAAAGAGGGAGGGAGGGAGGGAGGGAGGAAGAGGAAGAGGAAGAGGAATCAGTGACGAAGAGGAGGAGTCAATGACGAGGAGCAGGGATCGACGAGGAAGGGAACTATGTGTACGACAAGACAGGAGATCGCTGGTCGCGCCTGACTTTCGTAATCTACTTGACGGAGGACTTCGACGGAGGCTGTACCACCTTCTTCACTCCAGCTCGTGTCGAGGGATGCCTCGAGCTCCGCGGGGTTGAGCCCCGGCAGGGATGCGTCTTGTGCTTCCCTCATGGCGATACCGCAGAGTCGCTCGTCCATGAAGGTGAAGTCAAATAGCTGCTGCTGCTGCTGCTGCTGCTGCTGCTGCTGCTGCTCCTCCTCCTCCTCCTCCTCCTCCTCCTCCTCCTCCTCCTCCGTCTGTTCTTCCTGCCTTTCCTC